GCATCAAAATTGAAACTTTCATACTTCCGCACCCAACTTCTGATTCTTCTATGCTAAATTTCCTCATGCTTAACTCACATAAAGCGAGCTATATCTTCTGATGATGGGTCCTTTGTGGATTAGTAATCCATATCATTACATTTGTGATAGAAGAGCAATGTGACCCTTTTCACATTTCTACTTTTTCTTTGCCAGAGTTGTGGCGGAGATTATCCGGTTGTTTCACAAATCTTATGTGCTTCCACTTCACTTTTTGAATCTATAACTGGAAAGCATTGGGCTTTCATTGCTGAAAAAGGGTAAAATTTTCTCTGGCAACATACGTTATTGGCTGTCATATCAAGTACTTGGTTAGATCCCAATGTCAATATGCTCTAAGATAAGTTTCTTGCAGAACATGTTTAGAATATTGTATTTTCAATCTTCTACAAGGTATCCTTTTTATTGATAAATATTTAATCAATCTTCAGCGAGATTGACGGTTTAGTTTATTAGAAGTAACATTTCTTATAGTTGAGGACATTCGTCCTCCTATACACCCTTCTACCTTATAAATGAGACTCTATTTTCTTACCCAAATAGTAAAAAGTAAAAGGAGATGAAGTAAAGATATGATAACAACAAAAAGACCAGCAAGATCCACAGAAATATTACAGCAACAGTAAGAACTAAATATATGGACATATAAACCATCCGTCTAACATCTTTCTAATCAAATCTGACAGTCTGACATATCACATACAAAATAAAAAGTTTATCAGACTCATCCTAGACGTAAAATTAAAAACAAGACGACTGATGGGGAAAAAGGCAGTAACAGCAATCAGGATAAAGCACAGAAGATGCACGCAGAAGTTACGGGGAAGAGAAGAAACTAATAAGCACCTGCTCGGCATAGTTCTGTGGGAGAGCTTCAAGAGTACTAGAACTTAGCTCCATCGCGAGATCATAACAGCGAAGATTGTTGTTAATCTGCCATAGTGTCTAGATCTTAGCATAGTTGTATAGCACCAACATGATTTAAAGATATTTCTACTTCACAATAAACAGTTTAGATTTCAAAAGTTTACAAACCATTGCACATAGGGATTCCAGACCGATTTCGGAAGCAGGTTCCTCCAATCTCTTCCTCTCAGCTGCTTGAAAATCAATCATTACCTGGAATGAAACATTATCAAGTAACCAGCAAAAGTTTCTTTTCAGAAACCTGAAAATCAAGCTGTTACCAATCAAAAACTCATGAATTTATATGGAATAGATTACAAGAAATATATCAGAACGGGAAAGAAATAAAATTAAGTCCTTTCAGTCTCTGAACAAGTTTTTGGACATCTGATCAAGCAGGCTATCATATAAACACACTCATAAAAGAGAGGGAAAACAGTTATCATGTAAACACAAGATTATATTCCTTCTTTTTCCCTCTTTTCATTAAAGGGTAGCTTAGATTAAAACTGGAAAGACAAAAATTCCTCCTTGAGCAAGGATATAGAAGATGAAGCATTTCAGAATAACTGCTTCTCTCAAAGAACAAAGTCCAAAAATGCTTCAAATACTCGTGAACTATTTTCTACAAGAACTCAAGTACTTGAACATCACTTGATACACATTTTTGTTGAGGAAAAATACTTCACAAAAAATACTGAGGACAACCATGCACCATGCCATGCACCATTAACCCCCTACTTCAAAGGAAAATGTTAACTAAGAGTCCATGGAAAATTGAGTCTGTTTTGTTGTAACACAAGCATGATTATTAAGGGATAAGAAATGATGCCACCGGAACAGAAAGCATTGGAGATTTTTCCTTGTAGATGTATATAATGAAACAAAAGAACTTACCTGAATGAGAGCCAGAGCAATCCTGTATAACATGACATCAGTGCTATTTTCTCGTACAATTTGCACCTGCTCCCCCAGGATCCTAAATAAGTCAACAGCAGCAGGCGTATAAAGTTTCCCATCGTCCGTCTTTTTAGGTGGCTGTACTTTGTCTGCCTCAAGGATGTTCAAGTACCATTTCTATGTTACGAAATAAGATGAAAAGTCAGCATCATGTATGTCCTAAAATAATATGAAAAGCAGTTATGATAATAGATTGAGTTTAAACCTTTGTCGTAGCTTGCATTCTCTCAACATATGCATTCATGAGGGGATCCATTGCACCACTCTCAGAGCAAACTTGAGCCAAAGAATCATCAACTCCAAGTCCAATTAGACTTTCTTGGTAGTCGACCACCCAACCTGTTACCTAATTCATGGATTGGGAAAACATCTCAATTCCGAATCACGACAACATCTCTTGCAAAGGGGGGGAGAGAGAGAGCGCATTTACACACCCATATAGAAAAGAATTATTGGGAAGATGAACATAATGCTGAGAGATGATGAGGGGGAGTAATTAAAGTTAATTATCGGTAAGTCAGGAAGCGGCACTTCGTTTTTGCAGAACTATGTAGCTCATGGACACAAAAGCACAGTTATCAAAAGAATCAGAAAGGGAGATAGGAAACTAAATCAAAGCCCTCAGACATGACTGCCTTTCTCTTCATGAAAATTTGTTACTGGTTGAAAGAAGAACCACAACGGGGCCATGAGCCTATTAGGAAGTACTAACATAGATATGTTTCTCAGCATAAAGGATGCTATACCACTATTCCTGAAAGTTTACGAGGAGTGCACAATTCGGTAACATTGAGATTAATTAAAAGCAGGGATAAGAAGGTATAATAGAAAGAAAGAAAGAAAGAAAGAAAGAAAGAAGCCACAGCAAGTAGTAAAAGAAACAATCATATTTGACCAATTTTTTTACCTCAAAGCTTTGAGCCTACGACCACAGCATAGGGATTAATATCATATATCCTTTAGATAAGGAATAACTGGTTGAAATGGTTTTTTGTGACTTCCATATTCTATAGTATATAAAATTCCATATTTTCTAGCTTTTAATCAAACAAACAACGATTTCTAAATAATCCTTCACCTATCCAAAAGAAAGAAAATGCTGATATGATTAAAGTTGTATTGCCTTTAAAATCTAACCTCAAAGCGATGAGCCTATCATCATAGCATAGGAATTAATATCAAATTTTTTTTAGATTAAAAAAGGTGATGGAGGTGCTCTTTCATGACTTCCATATCAATAGTTTATAAGATTTTCATATTCTCTAGCTTTTAATCAAACAAACAACGGTTTCTGATGCCAATATAATCCCTCAGTTATCGAACAGAAAGAAAATGCCAATATGATTAAAGTTGCATTACCTTTAAAATCTCTATATTCGTCATATTATTAGCTTGGTCACTCAGCTTTCTCAGCCACTGGACAAATCTCTCCGTATAAAGGTTTACCATGAGCTGGAAAATTTCATACCTGAGACCATATAAAGTATAAATTAGAATGGACATAACAACGTACAGAAGAGAAACAGAAGTTGACCAAGTGGAAACAGATATTAAGGTATAGATGCCACTGACTTGAAAGTGTTGCATGATTAAGACCAAACAATCACGCCTATTTAGCACAAGAAGGAGCTTTACAGCTAACAAAAGCTTTTTGAAGAAAATCATATCAACAAGATACATGTGAAACATCTAGATCATCCTAAGTATTAGGAACGTCATGCTGGTTGACTATCTAACATTGAGTGAGTTATATATAATATTATACTTTATCAGTAGTAGAACGCAATTAATAGCAATAAGGAACATTTCAGCTTGTGACTAATTTTAGAGATAAGAGTTATTTTCCCGAGTAAATTTTCCAAATACGACAACAACAAATGCAATGGGATCATGTGGGGTCTGGGGAGGGTAGTGCATGCACAGTCCTTACCCCTGCCTTGAGAAAGTAGAGAGGTTGTTTCTAGAAGACCCTCGGCTTAGAAAAGATACAAAAGTAAAGCGGATAAAAAGTCTCAGTAAAGGTAAAAGCAGGAAATAACAATAAGCAGCAATACCAGCAAAGCAAGCAGAAAACCAAAGCGCAAGAACCAACCGGTAATAATAGAAATCTGGGAACAAGAAATACAAGACTAGCACTAAATGGTGCACTAAAACTACTGGTACGAAGAAGCCGCTCGGCTACCTAACCCTCTACCTTAATTCTCGACCTCCACACCTTCCTATCAAGGATCATGTCAATGGTGAGCTGGAGCACCGCCATATTTTGCCTAATCACTTCTCGACCTAACCCTCTACGAAGAAGCCGCTCGGCTACCTAACCCTCTACCTTAATTCTCGACCTCCACACCTTCCTATCAAGGATCATGTCAATGGTGAGCTGGAGCACCGCCATATTTTGCCTAATCACTTCTCGACCTAACCCTCTACGAAGAAGCCGCTCGGCTACCTAACCCTCTACCTTAATTCTCGACCTCCACACCTTCCTATCAAGGATCATGTCAATGGTGAGCTGGAGCACCGCCATATTTTGCCTAATCACTTCTCCCCAATACTTCTTCGGTCTATCCTTACCTCTTCTTGGGCCCTCCACAACCAACCTCTCATAGCTCCTTACTGGGGCACCAGCGCCTCTCTTCTTCACATGTCCGAACCATCTAAGTCTCGCTTCCCGCATCTTGTCCTCCGTCGGAGCCACTCCCACCTTGTCCCGAATAACTTCATTCCTAATCCAATCCAACCTGGTGTGCTCGCACATCCATCTCAACATTTTTATTTCTGCCACCTTCATCTTCTGGACTTGGGAGTTCTTTTTTTTTTTTTATCAGTAAAGAGCATTATATATAATAAAACCAGCAAGAAGAAGTTGCTGGATGGGTTACAAGAAAAAAAATTACGTTACAAATTGTGTAATGTGCTAATAAAGTCAATCATGGCACAAGTGTCAGAAACACGTACATCTGCCATGTTACACCAAAAACTAAGCAAAACAATACAGTTGAGTTTAATATCAATGACTCTATTCTTCCTACTATCAAACAACCTATCATTTCTCTCTTTCCAGATGCACCACCAAATTGCAGCCGGTATAGTATTCCAAATTTTGATAGAAGGTCGTTGAATATCTAATTTGTGCCACCCTTGCAACAGCCGAAGAGTTGAAAAGGGCATACACCAAAAAATGCCCAAGATATTGAGGAAAAGGTCCCAAATTTGGGAGGTAAATTTACAGTGGAGAAAAAGATGGTTGACATCCTCCAGCTGCTCTTCACATAACACACATTTGTTGACAAGTTGCATACCCCTTCTCTGTAGGTTGCTTTGTGTGAGACAAGCTTCTCTAGATACCAACCAAGAAAAACATTTAACCTTGGGAGGGGCCAGCCCCTTCCAGATGGGTTTCCAAGGCCAAGGAGTATTTAGTGGGTTAGATTGTGTCAGAATAACATAACATGATTTCACCGAGAATGTGCCTTTCCAATTTGATGTCCAGATGAGGCAATCAGGCGCAGGAGAAGAAGAAGAGGATCTATGGAGAAAGTCCAAGAGACTCAGATACCTATCCACCTCCAGTCGTTTTAATGTGCCAACCATGATCCAATCTGAAGTCTGAAACGAGAGCATTTGTCGAGGAAGTGATTCTGTAAAGGTCTGGGAAGTTGTCTTTAATAGGAGAGTTGCCATGCCAAATATCATGCCAGAATTTAGTCTTTCTACCATCGCCCACTTTTATTGAAGAGTGCAACATGAAGAAATCCCATAGCATCCTGATATGTTTCCAGATACCAAGTCCTAAAGGAGTAGGAGTAGGTTTGGTGGTCCAGGGATCTAGAAAACCATACTTGGAGCTAATTACAGCCCTCCAGAGAGAGTTTTCTTCTTGATTGAAACGC